AGACAGTTCTGCTCTAAGATCAACAGCTAAACTGAAGCAAACCAGCGAGGGAACAGAGGGATTCCATCAGTGATGAATGTTGGCATGAAAACAGGAGAACAAACAGACAGAGGAGCAATGGGTGGAAAGAATGCAGCTGAAGGAGGAACAATGCAGCTTAAAGATTAGGCTTATTGGAGACTTCAGTTCTAGAAATAATGGAAGACGACGTCTTTCATCTAGTTTTATACTTTTTGAAAAGCTGCGATGTTGACCTCCAGTCCTGCGAAGTAGTTGCCCTGTTGGACCAAAGACCCAAATGTTTGTAGTAAAGTTCTTGAAGCAGAGAAAAGAAACCAGACTTTAAGGACTGGACTTTGGCTGCATTCACACAGCAACCTGAAGGGACCCAAATCTAATTCTTTTTTTTTTCTTTACCTGCATCCGATCTTTTCATAACCGTCTAGAATCTATCTTTGTAATATGATCCAGGCCTCTTGGCTGTAGCTACTTTCACACTGCAGGCCTTAATGCTTAATTTTGATTCTTCTGCGTGGCCGTTCACATTTGCAAATACATGCGGCTTGTATGTGATCACCTGTTTGAACTGCATTCATGCAACCTAAGTGTCCCTCATGTGCAGTATTGGACGCAATGAAGTAAACATGCATGATAGTGCTGCAGTGCATATTGCCATCTTTTATTTCTTTTACATTAACAAAGCAATCATTTCAAGATGGTTGAAAATAGACTGCTCTCCATCGTCGTCCGCCATGATTGTTGTTTTTCTTCCCGCTTCTGTGTAGCAAGATGCAGACTAGTGACCTTTGTTGAGTATTAATGGCGTTCAGGTTGGATAAATGTGACCGGGCTGTTCAGACACAGGTTGCATTGAAAAAAAAAAATCTGATCTGTGTCGTTCAGACTATCTTAAAAAGATCAGATGCAGGTTGCATCTGGACAAAAATATGGGATTTGGGTCACATCAGGCTGATCAAGGTAGCCTCATTATTTTTACTCACCTCCAAGCACCCAGTTCAGGTAGACCGGATCCTTGGAGGACGCAGATGCAGAAATCGAACACACCCAGTGGCTGCAATAAGAGGCTAGTTGTTTATTCCTTTAGATGGAACCATCGTTTGAACATGGACGCCATGTTGACCTCTGAACTTTCAGCCAACTTAGAGATCCATGGCGTCCCCTGTTAAAGTTTTTAGTGGGACTTTAAATGATCTAACAAACGGCGGTGGAACTTTGCTTTTTATTTCTGTTTTTCTTCTGATGAGTTGTTATTCATTATGTTACATATTTAAGAAGCTCAAAAGACGCCTGATTAAAATGTCCTATTTTTATTTTCTAGTCTTTTCCTTTGGTTGCGGTTCTCATTACAGTTGAGACATGAAATTTGATGGACTTTAAAGCTCTAATCAAAGTTCCTCTGAATGACGTCCTGTCGTTGGGTTAAGATGTTAGAAACGGTTGAACAAAACTTCTAGAAAATAAAGGGAAATTTCAATGGATGTTTGCAGGTTAGGTTCTTTCTCTGCTGCCTCCCAACATAAACAGTAACTTCTACTGTGCAAACCTGAAGGAACCGACTGCTGCACGCTAACGGTGGCGGGAAAACCTGTTACAAAAAGAAAGATTCAGCTCTTTTCCAGCAATTTGAAGCGTTGTTTTTTTTTTTTTTTTTTAGAAACCACAGAACTTCGGAGTTTAAATCTAAAATGTCTCTTTTAACAGTTAGATCCGCTTTGATGTTCTGATCTGACTGTTTCAGACTGATCCGGGAGAATCTGTTGGTTAGGATCATCTCTTTCCTGTCCTAAATTCTTCTAATTCACATCTGGACCCTAGAATATTTCCTAAGGCTGAGGTGATGCAATCAGAGGGTTTTGGACTGAAGGAGCTCAGCAGGAAGCCGCTGAAAGCTCAGATGTCTGTGAGGGAACCGTCCAGCTGATAGACTCACGTTCTTCTCTCTGCTGCAGTTTTGGGAGGAGATCAGCGACGAGCACGGCATCGACGCTGCTGGAAACTACGTGGGCGACTCTGCTCTGCAGCTGGACAGGATCAATGTCTACTACAACGAGGCGTCCTGTAAGCTGCGCCGATCCCAGCCTGTGAGTCTCTGTCTGCAGCCTTCAAATAAACCCTGATCTGTTTGTGCAGCACATAAATACGTCCCCCGCGCCGTGCTGGTGGACCTGGAGCCAGGGACCATGGACAGTGTTCGCTCCGGCGCCTTTGGACAGCTCTTCAGACCAGACAACTTCATCTTCGGTACGTTTGTTTGGACTGGGCCTGAAGGCTGCAGAGGAACTTCAGAGATGCTGGATCTTAGTCTGCATCTGTTCCCGTCCTGGTTTCAGCTTTCACTAATGCATCTTCTCCTGCTGTCTGTAGGTCAGACAGGTGCTGGCAACAACTGGGCCAAAGGTCACTACACAGAGGGGGCGGAGCTAATGGACTCGGTCCTGGATGTAGTGAGGAAGGAGTGTGAGCACTGCGACTGTCTGCAGGTGAAACCAGACCTAATATTTCTAGAATCATCTACCAAACTGTTGGCATTAACTGGAATCTGTTAGTGACGTTAACCTGCTGCCTCCAAGGCTCCCTGAAGGCTTTTCACAGGTTTCAGACTTTGCCTGCAGACTCTGTGATGTTATGCATTTGCTCTCATGTGAGGAACAACAAATACTTGCTATAGTTGCTATGGTTACTAATCTTAACAATGTCCAGAAGCCCTGCATCCAACAGCAGAGGTGTAGGGAGAAAACCCGCAGAATATTTCCTGGGAATTAGGGTTTATGAATAGAAGACGGGCTGAAACACAATAGTTTTATTCATCTCAATTTTTTGCGAGGCTTTTCATTTCAATGCATTTATTGATTTGACAGGAAGGGTTTAACTTAATTAGCATTGCTGCAAATGCACATGAATTAGCTAAGAGGCTATTTTTCATCTGTTATCCAAGGACAGATCTTAAGATTGACCAGCTAAAAAAAAAAACAACAGTAAGAATTTTATAGTAAACAATAGGAATATGAAAAAATAACAGAAAACAACTCATTAAATGTTGTTCAGGTTAATAAAAATAAAACATTTAAATAATTAAATTAAATAATTTATTAGCATTATTTGTTACAGAATTAGCCCTGATAAAATCCAGTGTGTACTCCAAGATAACTTACATGTAGCCTGATACAATCACAATCTGAAATTATCTAAAACTACAACTGAATTCTGACGAGGATGAATTCTAATTTCGGATCTCAGTGGGAGAGTTGCTGCTAGTCATACTTGCTGTTTCAGATATCAAAAATGAATGTAGTATTCTAGATATCCAGAATCTATCACAAGAAAGAAAATGAAAGAGAGAAATACGAAGAGGAAACAAAAAAAAGAGAGAGAAAGAAAGAAGAAGAGAAAAAAAAAGAAAAAAGAAGAAAAAAATAAAAATAAAAAATAAACAGATTTACACTCATACAGACACAATATATATATGTATGTGTGTGTGTGTGTAATGTGTGGCCATGTCTTTAATACCTGGTGGGGACAATTTCCTAGGAATATGCTACATTTTGGGGACTCATAGGTACTTATAGGGACCAACAACTGGTCCCCATAAGGAAAGTTTCTCTTCTTGGGGTGGGGGTTAGGTTTAGGACTAAGGTGTGAGGGACAGAATTCCACCCCTTAGTTGCTGTAACTGTAAAAGCTATTTGACCAAAAGCACTTTTATGCAAAGGAACAACAGTCTCCTCTTCCTGACCCTCATTGCACAATCTGTGAGTTCCTGATCTTTACAAACTGACTGAGTGGAGGAGATGACAGATCATGGATTTTGTACAACAGAGGTTCCATCTAGGGCTGAAACAATTAATCGGATTAATTGCGATGAATCAATTATTGAAGTAATCATCAACTAATTTAGTAATCGAAAAGTTTTAGTTTTAGTTTCACCTGATTTAATTTCTTAAAAAATTAAATTATTATATTTTATTTACACAATCGATTTGAAAAATGATTGTTAGTTGCAGCCCTTGTTTCAATACTTGTTGACATTTTCCCAGGTTAAAACTTATGCTTTAGTAAAATGGCCCAATGGTCATATTGTGATGATTTTTTTAATCCAGAGTTTTGATTTTAAAGAGATTCTAAAGGATTTAGTTTTGCTGATATAAAAGCTGCTCTTTTTTATGCATGTGGCCCAAAGACAATAGTTGATTCTGGCAGCGGCTTGAAACGGTAAATATCTAATCAATGCATCATTGCAACAACACAAACACATCCATCCTCAAGGCTTGTTACCCTTGGAGCTCTAGTGTCTTTTTCTGTGCTTCATCTCCACTATTTTTTCTTTGTGTTTGAGGCTGAATGTCTGAAGCTGCAGTTTTTCCTGCAGGGCTTCCAGCTGACGCACTCGTTAGGAGGAGGTACTGGTTCTGGGATGGGAACCCTGCTGATTAGCAAGATCCGGGAGGAGTATCCTGACCGCATCATGAACACCTTCAGCGTCATGCCCTCACCTAAGGTACAGCCGTTATCCTCCATGCTGCTGAGACTCTCCCAGACGGTTTTATCTTCCTAAATTGCTCCCTCAGGTTTCGGATACGGTGGTGGAGCCGTACAACGCCACCCTCTCTGTGCACCAGCTGGTTGAGAACACGGACGAAACCTACTGCATCGACAACGAGGCCCTTTACGACATCTGCTTCCGCACCCTGAAACTCACCACCCCCACCTACGGAGACCTCAACCACCTGGTGTCTGCCACCATGAGCGGCGTGACCACCTCGCTCCGTTTCCCCGGACAGCTCAACGCCGACCTCCGAAAGCTGGCCGTCAACATGGTTCCCTTCCCGAGGCTGCACTTCTTCATGCCGGGCTTCGCCCCGCTGACTGCCAGGGGCAGCCAGCAGTATCGCGCCCTCACCGTTCCCGAGCTCACCCAGCAGATGTTTGACGCCCGAAACATGATGGCGGCCTGTGACCCCCGTCATGGCCGCTACTTGACCGTGGCCACCGTCTTCCGTGGGCCGATGTCCATGAAGGAGGTGGATGAGCAGATGCTGAACATCCAAAACAAGAACAGCAGCTACTTTGTTGAGTGGATCCCCAACAACGTGAAGGTGGCCGTGTGCGACATCGCCCCCCGCGGGATGAAGATGGCCGCCACATTCATCGGAAACAGCACGGCCATCCAGGAGCTCTTCAAGCGGATCTCGGAGCAATTCTCGGCCATGTTCAGGAGGAAGGCCTTCCTGCACTGGTTCACGGGAGAAGGGATGGATGAGATGGAGTTCACGGAGGCGGAGAGCAACATGAATGACCTGGTGTCCGAGTACCAGCAGTACCAGGACGCCACAGCCGACGATGGCGAGGAGAACTTTGAGGAAGACGATATAGACGAGTAGGGCCCATTGGTGAAATATTTCGGATTCATGTTCGTCTTTGGTGTTTGATTTCAGTAAATTAAGATCAAAACCATACAGAGTTAAATGATTTTTAGCGTAATTTTTGTCTTGAAGCCTGAATTTTAAAATTGTAGGAAAGCGGCTGTTCCAAATGTTGC